CTTAGAATGCTCTCAGAACACTCTCTTGTCATAACAAAATCCTCCAACTCTCTCTCTCTCTCTCTCTCTCTCTCTCTGTGGAATTATGAAGCAGAAGGGACAAAGGAAAGCAGGATCAAACAGTGTTGCAGAGTAAGGTTTTCTGAAACTTGTAGTAGAGCAGCAAAACTAAATCTTACTTACTGGTATGTGAGATCGAGCTGTTGTGCAATAACATGAGGTGGTCACTTGAGCTAAGTGAATGAGCATGAGACTTGTGAATTCTGTGTTAAACTGTTACGAAGATGATGCATGTTGTTGTGAACAGGAAGCAGCGGCGTTCATTAAGCTACCCTCTCAAACCACAGCCGCGTCGTCGCCTTCACATCCGGCGGCAGCCCAGTGGCCCTTCTTCGTGTTCCTCGGCGGCTCCATGTTCTGCCTCCTCTCGAGCAGCGGCTGCCACCTCCTCTGCTGCCACTCGCACCGCCTCAACCTGTTCCTCCTGCGCATGGACTACGTCGGCATCGCCGTCATGATTGTGACCTCCTTCATCCCCCCCATCTATTATATCTTCCAATGCGACCCTCACTGGCAGGTCACCTACCTTGTGGCTATCTCCGCCATGGGCTTCGTCACCGTCTTCACCCTCCTGTCGCCGCAGCTGTCCACCGGCGAGTTCCGAGCGTACCGTGCCCTGCTTTTCGTGGGCATGGGCTTCTCCGGCATCGTGCCCGCGGTGCATGCGGCCGTCATGAACTGGGGCGAGCCGCGGCGCAACGTGACGTTGGCCTACGAGACGGCCATGGCCATGTCGTACTTGACGGGGACCATCTTCTACGTGACGAGGGTGCCGGAACGGTGGAAGCCCGGGTGGTTCGATCTCGCCGGCCACAGCCACCAGATATTCCATGTGTTTGTAATCACGGGCGCGGTGGCGCACTACGGCGCGGCCGTCATCTTCCTCCAGTGGCGCGACCAGGTGGGCTGTGGAGGGGCTTCCTGAGCTCGGTAGGTGTTTGTTGTTTGTTTTGCATTGTGTTTTCGTTGATTATGATTCATAAGGGGCTATAGAAGTTATATAGCTCGTTGACAGGCAATTCCTAGATTTGTCAGGTTTGTTCATGTGAGATTATGTTGGACAGTAGTATAATTCTTGGGAGATTTGAACGTATACAAGTTCTAAATAAATCTGGTGAGAGATCAATCTGATGAATTGCATGTTTGAATTTTATTTATTTGTCATTTAGTTTTTCAAGAGATTCAACGATTTTTAATTCTTTTATTCACTAATACTTTTGTTTGATTTAATACATATATATATATATATAATGTAAAACTCCAAAACACAAAAAAAAAACCCATTTTCAGTTAATTTTTGCCAATTGACTATCCGCATTATTATATTGAAACTTGAATTAACATAAATATTTTAAAAAAATTATATAATCTGAAATTAATCTATTTTAAAATTTATCTATGCTTAAATTCAATAAATGAGGAGTCAAATAATGGATAAAGTATAGGGAGCTTTTTTGAATTATTTAAGATTTACATTAGTTTCTAGCATGACTAGTATATGTAAAGAACTTGAAGTAGATGAAACGTCAAAATATAAGATAGAAATAATGGCCTTCACAACTTATCCATTCTCAAAGACCTTAACACATTGGAGTTGTGTCGGTAACACGTCGCTATTGGTTACAATTTCCTTTAGACGATGAAGCAATTTCTACCTTCTTCAAATATTTTATCAAGCTGAGCTTTTTTTATGTATCTTAACAGACCAAAAAAAAAAAATCAATAAATAATCATAAAAATCCTTTTTTTAAAGTTCAAACTTTGATGCTAAAGAGCTATTTGAAACAAGGCTTCACCAACATACAACCCAACCATTGATTCGAAGGCCACAACAACAGGTCACGAAACAATCGACCACTTTGAGACTGCAGACACTCTTGACGAACAACATAGCCTCACAAGTCTTCTGCCAAACAACATTTGTGATTGCTTCTGAGTGCTGCCTAATGTCATGCTCATTTCCAATGGTCTATAAGAGCCGTTTAAAGTACATGATAATTTTTTCTTCCCGACAGATTGGGGAAAAAAAAACAATATAAATTAGACAAGATGTCTCATAGAAATAACCCAAATAATACTAAGATTATAGAAGCATTATCTGTTCAGTAAATGCTCAATAATAAAATTAAATTTAATCCAATTAATAAAATTAAAAGAATAAAGTGTAGAATTCACCCTATAGCTATCCTAAGAAATGATTCTATCCCTTCCTGCATGATTAAATCTATTTTCCAAAGATAAAATCTCAAGTATTCCTCCTTTATGGGCACGATAATACCTAGGTTGATGTAGTTTCGAACAACTTCATACAAGAATCAAGAAAAAAATGTGAAAAATCTTAAAAAATATTTTCTTAGAGAAAAATATCTTACAAGTAAGAAGAGAAGATTCTTCTTTACTATATCAAACCAAGTAATAGATCATCTTTATTTTTAAAATAGAATAACCTAATTAAAATTTCATAAGCATATGATTAGTGATAAAAGATAAATTTTGATTGATTAGGGTAAAATAGATGGTATGTGTTTTTATCCTTAGATATAGGCCTTGTGCCTCTTAGTGTGTTCAATATATGTCTTATATTAAGCAATATATATTTTTTAAATTAATAATTTTTTATTTTTTTTCAAACTCGGTACTTACCAACAATATGAACACATAATACGTTAGTATCATGAGATATCTCAAGCCCAATCAACCTTTGTCTCATGCCATAATATCTATGATAATATTTTTATTACTAATGAGTTTACGACATAATAAAATCAACAATAAAGGAAAATAGCATCTCTTGGACTGCTATTAGAGAAGTTCTTATCAAAATAGTTTTCCTAACCTCTTTGTGGATTGGATTAGAGAGTATACAGTTTCCCTTATATACACCTGTCTAGGTAATGGTAGCCAATTCGATTGGCTTTGGGGTCATCGAGGTATTAGATAATTCAAGGAAATCCTTTATCATCCTATATATTTATTTTTGTTCAACAACTATTATCTAATCTCATTCATGATTTGGTTGGACAAAATCTCTTCACCCCCTTTAATATTAAAAGGCTTAAATTTTCGCATTTGAAATTTACTAATGATATTCCCGCATTTAGAGTTAACCCTAAAATCTATGTTTTCTTAAAAAATTTGTTGGAATTTTGCACCTCCTAATCTAATTTTGCACCTCTTATTATCAACAAGGCTAAATCTAATTTTAAAAAACATAGTAATCATATGTCAAATATGGTATTTATGACTTTTTTTTATATTAAGGAGGGTCTTGATCTTTTTAAATATCTTGAAACTTATATTTCATATAGTAAAATCTCTATCCTCCTATAACATGGTCTTGTAGATAGGGTGTTGAACAAGATCTAAGTTGACATCAAAATTACATATCTGTTGGTTTTTATTAACTCTGTTTTCATTGTCATTCTTATCTGATTAGATACCTTAGAATTTAATAAGGAGAGATAATAATGATAATGAAAATGGAGTTAATAAAATCTAACCTATAAACTTGAGATATAAGATCCAATAAGTTTATAGGATTTTTTATATCAATGTTTCTAATTACCCTAAAAAGAATTATTAAGTTTAGTGTTTTAATCTAGGTGGTGTTACCATATTTATAGTACTTATCGCTTGTTAAGAGAAAAAGATAACAGTGATGATAGCTTTTGACCTGACTAGAGGGTGATATGAAATTTGAATATCCAATCGAAAATTAAAGTCTTTGCATAAAATTATTTCTCACTTCATCTTATTTTTATAAGTTTATACAATATCCAATCAAAAATTAAAGTCTTTGTATAAAATTATTTCTTACTTCATCTTATTTTTATAAGTTTATACAAAGTCATTATATAATTTATTTTCTAATCCGATCTCTTATATTTTCTTTAAATATAAATTTATTTTGAAATTATGGGATAAGCTTCAATACCATGTTGGGGTTAGTTTCATATTTTTTTTTAATATTAGGTAAATGGGGCTTGAAATAATGAAAGGGGGAATCTAAGATCATCTAGTGCTGCCTATCTAAGATGTCTTATTGCAAAATTCTTTGATATTTATGGTTGTCTCTGATCTATTTGGAGAAAGATAGTGGCTATTATTAATTAAGAACCTTGTTCCACCAAAACTATTGAGGGGGCTCAAAATAAAATTTCTATAAAAAGAAATAATAGATGTTGGAAGGGTTTTCTATTAGATAGTAATGATGATTTTTTATGGTGCATATGTAGGCTATTCCTGAATGATATACAAGCATAATTGATAGCAATGAGATCTACTCATAATCATATGAGATTATCCATTTAAGTTGAAGGGGCAACATTGATATCGAACGGTCTGCAAAAGAAAATTAGATTATAAAAATCATATAAAGATTCTTATTGTGTTCCTTTTTCTACTCAATCCATCATAAATGATATCAAATAGTTGATTAGTGGGGTCCACTTAACTAAGTTCACCTATGAGCCTAAAATAAATCTTAATTTTACAACATCAGTCTTACCACAATTGGACAAGATTATCTCTTGAGATATTTTGAATGGAGATTATCCCTATCCAAGTTTTAATCTGTCTCTTCTATAATATTAATAATCTATAGATATTTTATTTAAACAAAAATGCATATGATGCACTAATACAACTTAGACATGTATAAATTTCGATGTGGGTATGAGTATGATATTTCAAACTGAAAACTTTGATTATAATTAAAATTTATTATTGTTTTCGTTGTTTAGAATAGTTACTCTTTCTATATGATTACTATAATAAAACGAATAAAATTTTAAATTTATATAATATAAAATGATAGAATCTATTATTACTAAAAATAAATTTTCATGGTCCTCAAACCGGATAGTTTTCCTACAGACAAATCATGGTTCAGTGGAATGAATGAGAAAGCTACGCTCCGATATAAAATGATAGTTTTCCTACAGATAGGTTTTCTCGAGGTAACGTAGGTTGTGCTTAGCTATACATATTATGGTATCATTTTTAATGAGCATTGCTCTGTTGTCTCACAACTATTTTCCGTTAAAACTATATTATTGGAAATGGATCTCTTCTCAATATTTCCTATCAATTTCTAACTCTCTTCCGGAGGGAGAGAGAGAGAGAGAGAGAGTGTGTGTGTGTGTGTGGTGACAACACAAGCGTGTGAATGGTATACATATTTTCTGTTGATTATTTTAATATTCATATTCTGTATTTTCCCTTCCCTTTTCTGGGATAGAGAACAGGTGGACAGTTTACATCAATAATTTAGTGAATGGTATACATACGTATAGTTTATCCAATTAAACTGAGCATCGAGATTCGTGTTCGAAGCATCCACGGTCCGACAAGGGTGATGAAGCACGGGAAGCAACGATCACGGATGGACACGACTATCAAAGAAGGGGCCCCCCACCCCCCACCCCCCTGCATTCCAAGGGGTGTGTTTCTCTCACACGCACATCTGTTGTGCGTGTCGTGTTGGCACCAAGGAAAGGAAGATTCCCTTTGTCTTCCCATTAATTCCACAAAAGAGAAGAAATTTCGGGAAATTTCGGGATTCCAACACTTAATTATGAAAGAGGCATACATTGTCAATGTGTTTGTTTGGCGGACTGTTTCAAGAGCCGTTTCTTCTGAAACGCGTGACTCATTTCGGTTCGAGAGGACAAGTTGTCTACATATTTGACAAGTAAACGGCTTTACAACCACTGAGACGAGCTCGGCGACGTGACAAAACTTGGACGACACCTTAATTACCACGTAAAGGAGACAAATAGACGAAGTCTTCTCTCTCTCTCTCTCCCTCTCACCGATGACTGTGACGTGAATAGCTACTTCCGTGGGACCATCTCCTCAGAGCTGATGCCACCAAGTTTCTTCGGGACGCGAAGAAGCCCGCCCGTTTCTTCCGCGCCGTCCGCCTACTCTTACTGCTCAGGGGCCCCGCGGCACTGGCCCGGTCGACCGAGGCAAGCGGCGGCCGCTCGGCCCCGCCTGTGTCCTCCGCGATCCCAAATTCCCCGAAGACCACAGTCCCCTCCGCCTGCTGCACGGCGGCCGATCCCTCGTCGGCCTCCACGTTGACAGCCAGTTTCCCGTTTCTGCTCGCTGCCAGTCGATCCGCGCACTCCGGCGTCACCCCGGAGCACCTCTTCACCTTTACCTTGACAAGCTTTGGGCACCCCGCCGCGAGGGCCTCCATCCCCTGGTCGGAGATGGGGCACCCCTTGATGCAGAGCTTCTTAAGAGCTGCGCACTTGGAGGCGATGCAGGCGACCTCGGCGTCCCCAAAGGTGTCGCTGCCGCAAAATGCGAGGCGTTCCAATCTGCGGCAGTTGCTCGCCATGAGCTCCAAGGTCCGGGACGTGGGATTGACCCCGATGAGGACCAGTTCTTGGAGACCGGCGCACCGCCGGGCCAGGGCCTGGAGACCCTCGTCGCCGATACGGTTCGCCCTCCACCCGTCGATGTGGACCTTGCGGAGGTGGGCGCAGCGGTCCGCAACAGCGGCGAGGCCTGCGTTGGTGCACTCCGGCGTCTTGACGAGGCGGAGGACCTCGAGATCGACGCAGACGGACAGGGCGGCGAGGCCGCTGTCGGTCACCTGCAGCCTCTCGAGGTGTATTTCGACAACCCCGGGGACCCTAGCGGCCATGTTCTTCAGGAGGGGATCCCAGTCGCCGGAGCAGCGGATGAGCTTGAGCGTCTTGAGGTTGGGGCACCCGGCGATGAGCGGTGCGAAGCACTGCGCATTGTAGAGACCCTTGAGGCAGACGGAGCGGAGGGAGGCGGCGCCGGCAACGAGTTCGGCGGTGGCGGACGGGTCGTGGAGGCCGCGGAGGCGCTTGATGGAGAGCTCTTCCAGGAGGGGGCACCCGCGGAGGACGGCGTCAACACCCTTGGCGCCAAAGGCGCAGGAGCCGACGGATAGCTTGCGCAGGCCCGAGCAGTAACGGGCGACAGCGGCCATGCCGGCATCGGTGAGGGCGCCGCAGGCGCGGAGCTTGAGGCTGGCAAGATTGGGACAGCGCGCCGCGACGAGGGCAAGCCCCTCGTCGCCAATGCTGTCGGTGCGGCTGCTGCATCGGAGGGTGAGTCTGGAGACGGCGTCGAAGCGGGCGAAGATGGCAGGAGCCACGTCGAGGAGCGCGGCGCGGGCGTCGAGCGCGAGGCGAAGGCGGCTCCGGCCCTCAACGGCGAGCCACCTTCGGCACACCAGTGAACAGCGCTTGCGGTCACCAGGGCCAAGCGACTGGAAGACGAGGGCGAGGCAGTCGTCGGGGAGGTCAGCGGTGTAGTCCGTCGCGGTGGAGATACCCCCCACCACAGCCGGCGGCGAGTCGGTGAGACGGCTGGAGGCGGATTGGCCCATGCACGGCGGGGGACCGGGAAGTGTGATGATGAAGCCTGGTGGTCTTGTAAGTTTTATGTCGTCGGGGGAAACGGGAGAGAAGGCGTCGAGTCCACGACGTAGGCCGCTCTTGTTGCGTTTATATACGGAGATGGTAATGTGGCCGTGGAAGACGAGAGAGAGAGAGAGAGAGTGGCGCGTCAAAGGGAGGGTGCGCGTAGAGACCAAAGACTGGGCTGGGACGAAAGAAAAGGGAATGGGGTGCGTGCAACAACGCGGGAGTAAAAGAATGGGCGGGTAGCAGACGAACCAAAATTAGAAAATTGGTTTGAGTTTGACCGATCACATGCCAGTCAAAACAGGAGACCTGTAGATGGGGGTAATATGTGTGTTCGGAATGAGAGATAGCCATACAAGGAAGAGTTGTTGAAGCCGTGGTTTCATCGACTGGGTTTACGGAGTCATACGCCACTTTAGCTTTCCGTGGTGGACCAGTGAATACCAAGTCTTCCCCCTCGTACACCCACGATGATTTCCAGTGCTGTTGGGAATGCAATGAGATGACGAAGAAGATGATGATAATTTCCTCCTCGGAAAATATTGGAACATCCAGAAGAGTGGACTGTGGCAACGCATTCCTGACTGAGTTCAGAAGTCAAACCATCTTTAGGTTCTTCCGGTGGATTGTGTTACAGTCATTCAAAGCTCATGGTCGTTTTTGAGACCCTCCCTCCATTGTTTCGGACCAACCCGATCATTAAAAAGATTGATTATAGCTTCCTAATCAGATCATTGAGGCCTTACAAAAATCAAAAACTTTCAACTTCTTTTTTGTTATCTTGAATACTTTTTCCTTTTCTTTTTGGGGATAAAATAGAAGAGAAACATCCTATTCTATTTGGGCAATTTATATAAAAAAGTCCTCAACAACATAGTTTTATTGGATGACACCTCTTTTTACTTTTTTATTAAGAAATATTTTTTATTTAAAATATAAAAATATTCTCAAAATTGGATCAATCCTTTTTATTAAATCGATTAGATTCGAACTGAATATGATATGATTGTGGTTACAATGTGAATCAAATGGATTCGAGTCGAATCGTATGAAGTTAATCGAGTCGACTCAAGTTTGAATCAAAAGACAAAAGATTTACACGAGGGTTACACTAATGTAATTGGTGGAGACTGCCTCTCCCTTCTCTACTCCTCTTTATTGATGAATAGCGATGTCCCCTCTCTAGTTGTAACAAACTCTTGTGATCCTCTCCTACGATGTAGTCTTTTGCTCCTCTTTAGTATTTGTGAATAGCAATAACATCTTTCATTCTCCACTATCTCTATGGTATTTACACAATATCCTCCCCTCTCTAGTGGTGGTAAACCCCTCTACTCTTATATAGTATTTGTGTCAACGGTGACCTCATTTCCTCTCCGACTATGAATGATAGTGTATTTGTTACCGATGGCATCCTCCCTTTTTTGACAACAAACTTCTATTTTTTCAAGAAAAAATGATAATTTTTTTTTAAACCGATTTTTAGAGTTCTCAAAGGTTTTTATATTTATAAGAGGAAAATGATTAATCATTTACTAATTCTTGATATTTATATTTTTGGCATGTTTTCTTAATTTTAGTTAAACAAGAGGAGATTGATGATCTAAAACTAAGAGAGAGTCTTGTTCATAAATTATTTATTATTAAGGTGTCTAGATCTTGGGTCTGGATCAATAAGATTAGTAAATGTATTCATGAGTAATGTGGTTATATTTACCACACCTTCTAGGATTATCGTTGATAGTCTTCTATGTTTATGGTAAGATTTAAGTTGATTAATATTTGTTTTTAATTACAATAAGGTGTGAAATTATAAATATAATTTTCTCTTAGAAGATTTTTATTTTAAAATCTCATTTTGGTGTTTGTATAATTATCTTAAATAGTTTATAATTTTTATCTTAATTAATGAAATTAGACAAACACCCGTTGCATATTTTGCTTAGTGAAATTAATTTATAGATACTAAACATTTAGAATAGTCATTTTCTCTGAATTTTTTTTTCTATATTTGTTTAAACTTTAGATATAATGTCCTATATTTATAACATTTAATTTTGTTTATAGATAGAATGACATCACTATCCTTTCGACTTAGGGGTAAGAAAGCATATCAAACAACTACTATAAAGAATATAAATAATAATTTAATGATTTATATTAATCATTATTAAATTATATACAACCAATACTTTTTTTATGTGTGAACTCAAAGATGTCTGAATCATCCATTCTTCAATCTTGACCTCTTCTTGTGTCACCCACTCAACCTCCTCTTGTGTCACCCTCTCATTTATTATAATATTAATTAATTTAAGTATTTTGTCTATGATCTGAAGTTTAGTTTTGCAAAGATGACATGGATGAAAGAACACACTATTAATGTTTGACGTGATGGAGAATAATCACATAACTAATTCTGTTGAAGATGATTCAAATGTCATATGTGAATTTATGGCATATATTGACTTGTGCTTAATTATTAATTATTTATTTTCTATGTTTTCATGTGTTAAAGTCCTAAGTATTAATTTTGGTAAGTCATATTAGATGGTGAATTTTATTTATTTATTCTATTTTATTTATTATTTATTAGTTCATAATCTTTGTGATACTATTATTCACATATGCCATTGGTGCTTATCAACTCATTGTTGACTTACATATATTTAGTGCCATCAGTGGAGAAGACTAGACATTTGCGTTCACATTTAGTGAGGATAAGATTATAATATCAAGTTTAAGCTTAATTTGAGCTCCTTGGTTGTGGAGGAAGGACAATTCTAACGGGTGACCTCGAAATGACTAATTCAAGTACTAATTATTTTAATATCTATATATTATTATATTATATTCTAAAAAGTGTTTGATTTTATTAATATCTTTTCGTTGTGATAAATTTTGTAGGACAAAAAGAATAGAAGGATACACTCACTTGATATATAGAGTTTACGGTCTGGTAAATGTTTCGTGATTCAATTTAGTACAACTAATAACTTATCTAAAGAGATTTACTAAATAATTTTTTGGGTACAATTAAAAGAAAGGTAGAGATGACACCTATCAATTTCAAAACATGAAAATAAATGCTTGATTGATTGAAAAAAGATATAGTAGAAGCTATAGAGGTATTTTTTTAGTTATTTTGAATTAAATAACACAAGAGATTTAACTCCAAATAATTATTTATTAATTGATGTCTATAATATCTTTTTCCAATCAAAGTTTGACTATCCTCGTACTCAGAACATAGCTAAGTGGATACTATAATGAATGAATTCAAAATGGAGGAATTGGAAATGTGATTTAAAATCCATTCATTATGATAGCTTGAAGTCTATGTCCTTTCATTTAAAAAATATTCTTGATAGAGTTCATAAAGACCAATGGGTCAGTCTCAGTGCTTATTAGAACTTTGAGGAAGGATAGATATATAATACTCTTGAATTCAGAATCATATCGTCTTGGGTAAATATTGAATTTTATAGATTTAAAATATTTTTTTAGAATCTTAGCAAGAGAAATAAGGTCAACAGATCAAAATTATGCCGGGTTGATTGATAAAAAGTTTAAGTAGAATTTTCATAAACATTTGATGTATTTTTTATTTACTAAGAATATTATCTATTATTATGGAGACATGGAATAAGCCAATTAGAGATGATATTTTTATTATTAATCATAAAAAAAGATACAATGCTAATAGATGAAGATGTAGCAAGAGTAATTGTATATATAACTCGAGCATTTCGTTAATGTCATGCTTCTTATAATTTTTTTATTAATTTTTATTTTTATTAATAATATATTTATTTTTATTACAGAAACAAATAAAGAATCTTAAGACAACAACATCTTGAATCATATGATATTATGTATGATATTCCAGTAAATGAAGAGAGCATCGGAGTAACCAAAATGGAATTGAGTAGGATCGAAGAACAATTCTGTTAATTATATGAACCAATGAGATGAGAAAGATGAAGGAAATTGAATAAATATTGAATTTTACAGCGAAAAAGGAACTTCGATAAACAGTCTTCTTGTTCGGTAGAAAAAAGGAAATTGTACAGGGAAAAAGATGAAGCAAGTTTCAGGAGTTCAGTTTGTACTCTTCTCCTCTACTGTGTTGATAAATATTGAATAATTATTTGCAAGAAGAACTTCGATATGATCGAGTGACAGCTACCCGATTCGGATTTACTTAATTATCATGAATTAGTGCCGCAGCAGTTGACGTTCCTGCTTCTGCTGCCAACGGAAACCAATAGAAAAGCGAGGTCAAGAAAGAGTCGCGGTTCGAAAGCGAAGAAGATAAGAAGATTCAATCGGGAGTTGTGATCTGATCAGATGATTGCATGATTATAAAACGGTGTCAGTTCTTACTGAAAGAAGGACAAGACGTTCCCGCCACGAATCACGAGGCAGAAAAGAAGAGTGGATTAATACACGTAGGGACGTCCGCATGAATTGGTTGTGGGGGCTTCGAATGATAAAAACGCTTGCACCGAAGATACGACTCCAGCCGCATGCAAGTTGGCAAGTAGGGCGGCACCTCTTTAGTTAATTTATTGGGTCTTTTTGCTCGAACAATAATCTAAGGCGATTACTGCCGAAAGCTTCCAAAAATTTATTAAAAAAAAAAAATCCTTCTGAACTGCTTAAATTCGATTTTGATGCTTGTGTACATATTTAGAAGACACCCTAGTCGAGTTAAAAAAAATAAATAGGATAGAATTAATGTCCACCTTATCCGATATAATACCAACTGAATACCCATGAATTCATGCATTAATTATGATAACAACTTGATTTAGTGTCAGTAATTATGATTCCTCAGTTTCGTCTGATATCAAAGGTAAAATGATAGATATATTTTTATTTTATATTGGATGAACGTATGACTCTATCCACTTACATTTGAATATTTTGAACCATATGATTTAAGTTCACTAAGTTAATGATTTTATTTTTATTTAATCAAATCACGATAAATTAGTATCAGAGGACACTTAGAACCAAGAGGCCGAAGAACTAAATAAAAAAAATTATTTTAAATATCAATCTTTTTGGCTAGAGTTGTTTACCCATAGTAAAAGCGTAGCTATTTTTCGAATTTCGTTGTGTTAAATTAACCTCTATGCCAAGCAGGTTTTTCTTCTGTCATCGTCTTTGACATCTATCCATCTTCTCGTGTACTGATTGTTAGAAGAGGATAGAAAATATAAATTATAGAAGAAGCTGTTTGCATTGATATATTCTCTTGCTATTTATACAGGTTAAGAGGGAGGATTTCTCTCAACAGAGTAGAGAGATTTCCTCAAACAGTTAGGAAAATCTTATATGCTTTCATGTCCTCGTAAGATGGTGCTCCTATCAAGGATACCAATCTTGGATCGATGCAATATAAAAAGTTTACGAGCGAGAGGCTTCGTGAGTGAGTCGGCTAATTGATCAATTGTATATACATGAGAAACACGAAGTTGATGACGGACAACTTGATCTCGCACAAAGTGGAAGTCGATAGCAATATGTTTCATGCGAAAGTGGAACACCGGATTAGTGCACAAACAGGTAGCTTCGACATTATCATAATATACTGTAGGAGTGGAATTGATGTTGAGTTCCTTGAGTAGATTTGTGATCCAATTGAGTTATGTA